GGGGAGTCTTAAAAGGTGGAATTGTAAATAAAGGGACCCCAGGAACCTGCATTTGGAGGTTTGGGTTTTAAGGGCTTTGACTACCAACCACTCCTTGGATCGCTTCTTCCATCTCTATTTAGAACTTTGGGTTCTGAAGGTTTTGACTGTGAACCACTCCTTAAATCATTTTCTTCATCTTTATTTGGAACTTTGGGTTTTGACTACAAACCACTCCTTAAATCACTTCCTCATTTTCATTTAGGACTTTGGGTTCTGAAGGTTTTGACTGTGATGCACTCCTTAAATCACTTTTTAATTTTTATTTAGAGTTTTGGGTTTTGAAGGCTTTTACCATAATCCACCCCTTAAATCATTTTTTGCTTTTATTTAGAGTTTTGGGTTTTGAAGGTTTTGTTAGAGTTTAGGGTTTTGAAGGTTTTGACCATGACCCACTCCTTAAATCACTTTTTTATTAAGAGTTTTGGGTTTTGAAGGTTTTGACTACCAACCACTCCTTAAATCACATTTTCAGTTTCATTTAGAGTTTTGTGTTTTGAATGTTTTTTACTAACCAACCACTCCTTAAATCACTTTTTAATTTTTATTTAGAGTTTTGGGTTTTGACTATGACCCACTCCTTAAATCACTTATAAAATTTTCATTTAGAGCTTTGGGTTTTGAAGGTTTTGACTATCAACCACTCCTTAAATCACTTTTTTATTTTCATTTAGAGTTTTGGGTTTTGAAGGTTTTTACCATGACCCACCCCTTAAATCACTTTTTTATTTACAGTTTTGGGTTTTGAAGGCTTTGACTACCAACCACTCCTTGGATCGCTTCTTCCATCTCCATTTAGAACTTTGGGTTCTGAAGGTTTTGACTGTGATGCACTCCTTAAATCACCTTTTTATCTTCATTTAGAGTTTTGTGTTTTGAAGGCTTTTTACTAACCAACCACTCCTTAAATCACTTTTTTAGTTTCGTTTAGAGTTTTGGGTTTTGAAGGTTTTGACTATGACCCACTCCTTAAATCACATTTTCAGTTTCATTTAGAGTTTTGGGTTTTGAAGGTTTTGACTACCAACCACTCCTTGGATCGCTTCTTCCATCTCCATTTAGAACTTTGTGTTCTGAAGGTTTTGACTATGACCCACCTCTTAAATCACATTTTCAGTTTCATTTAGAGTTTTGTGTTTTGAATGTTTTTTACTAACCAACCACTCCTTAAATTGCTTATTTTGAGTTTTGGGTTTTGAAGGTTTTGACTATGACCCACTCCTTAAATCACTTATAAAATTTTCATTTAGAGTTTTGGGTTTTGAATGTTTTTGACTACCAACCACTCCTCAAATCACCTTTTTATCTTCATTTAGAGTTTTGTGTTTTGAATGTTTTTTACTAACCAACCACTTCTTAAATCACTTTTTTATTTTCACTTAGAGTTTTGGGTTTTGAAGGTTTTGACTACCAACAACTCCTTAAATCACTTTTTTATTTTTATTTAGAGTTTTGGGTTTTGAAGGTTTTTACCATAATCCACCCCTTAAATCACTTTTTAATTTTTATTTAGAATTTTGGGTTTTGAAGGTTTTGACTACCAACCACTCCTTAAATCACTTTTTTATTTTTATTTAGAATTTTGGGTTTTGAAGGTTTTG